TTAAAGATTTAGATGGTCGTTCAATAACTAATGCAAAAGGTCATCAAAATATTAGAAAAACACAAAAAGCAGTTTTGTTATATATCTGATCCTTTAAAGTACCCCCATTAACCTTTACACATGTCTCAAGGCTCTTTACCCATAACCGGAACATCTAAGCATACTTCCTTTCGGGTTCAACTAAATGACACTGATGGATAGCACTCCCAAGACAGATCTAAAATAGTAGCGTCTTTCTTTGATGTTTTTCTGTATATTTGGAATTAAAAAAAAAAGACAAAATGAATGAGATCTACCAAGCACTTGGGATGGCTAAGCTCTGCAAGCGTCGCTTTCTTTAAAATTTCTTTTACACATCTATGCCTATTTGCAGCAATTTTGTCAGCTAAAAATCTCCCCGGGTACCGGTATTTGAACTTCCCTTACAGAAAATCTGCTTATCTTTCCTTAAACCAAATTAACATAAAAGCTACTATTAATGGTCCTTCCCTTGGGTGTACATGTAGGTACACATATTACTAGACCTATAGAGTAATGGAGAAAAACCTATTTAAGACCTGTTTGGAGCTATGGTTTCTCTTTACAATAATAGGACGGTAGCTTCTCTGAATCCACATTTTATTACTGACCCTCTTTTTGATCTGTAAACAGTGCATCCATGTTTCGTCACCCGTCAAGCAGGTTTATCAATTTGTGTATATTTTAATATTCCCTTGGCACATTTAAAGGTGTTTTCTTGTAGGCATCTCTAAGGAAATATTGAACTCATTTTGACAGAAGTATTTTTTTTTTAGATTCATTTCCTTCTTCAGAACTCAATCAGCTGTAGTAATGATGAAATGTTTAGTGTCATAGCAACTTCTCTCACTGTAAATCTGGCATTATCAGGTAGTATAATGCTCATATCATCGATATTTTTTTGGTGTCCCTACAGATCTCGATCTACCAGTTCGACTGCAATCTTTTAATCCCCATTTCCATGTTTGAATTTTCTAATTCACCTGAACACCGTACTGTGTGAAAGACTAGTCTTTCCAAAAATCATATCTTCATTTTGGTTCTTTAGCAATTTTTGTAATGAACTGCAGTTTTTACATAAGTTCTCAATTTCACCTTCTTGGCAGAGACCTATTTTGAACAGTTTTTAACGCAGAGAAGTGACCATGCTTACTTTAAAAGAGAATTTCTTTGCCAAGACAGTAGAAAAAAAAAAAAAAAAAAAAACATGCGGTTTTCGGTGACTAGAAGTTCCTAAATAGAACTTTTCTAGTGTGAAAAAAAAATTAGAATTAACTGTTTCAATATTTATTATGATCAACCGTTTGTTGGATAACTTATTTAACGACCTTGAAGTTCGTATTAACGGTATGCATGAATTCGCGCATTGCTGTCCGCGCTATATATACTGTAATAACAAGATGCACGAGGGGTTATCAAAAAGTTCCTGGACTTTATACTATGAAGTCTGTGGTTACAAAATTTTTAAGGAGCATAAAACAACAAAAGTTTAAAAAATGTTGAAAATTTTAGCTTGACACGTTGGTAATTTGCTAAATTATTATAAAATAAAAAAGGTATATGATCAACCGCCACGGTCGCCCTTTAGTTTCATCACGTCCGACGACGTCATTGTTTCTCAATGTCTGCTCCCTCTACCTCATACACTTATCTTGATGGGATTTCCTGGAGTTCACTTGATTATGCCAGCATGTTTTGCTTTTCGGAGTTCAATATCGTCACTATTAGACGTGACTGACTTTTGACACCTCGACTATAATTCGACATTAACAGTGCATCTCCCATCTCTCTGAATATTTTTCGGCATTTAAATACATTTACTCTGGATAGATTTTATTATTTCTCTGTAGTCCGTTTAAATATTTCCTAGGGTTATACCAGTTTTACAGGGGCAAAACTTTATAGAAAGTTCGAAAAAGAAACCCTACCTCTCTTTGGCTTCATTTTCAAGCCCTTAATTGTTTGGACACTCTATATAAAATTTACGATAAATTTTAATAGAACTTACCGAATGAGGTAAAAATTGCAAATTTTACGGAACAATCGTCATACTACATGCCTGAATTAACGGGATTTTTCGATGACAAATATTTATATCAAAAAAGTTTTTCTCAGTTACCCATTTACAAAAAATGCTATGTTTGAGGTTTTGCCACATGGACATACCACTGCTTACATTACTTAACATTAACAAATTATTAAAAAATAAAACTAATGATTTCTAGTTTATTCTATGGAAAGAAAAGATGTTGCTCACTAAATGTATTAAAATTCATTGATGTACCAAAAGCGGTTTTAATTTTATGGCGTTAGTCCAGGAACTTTTTGATAACCCCTCGTATATGTATCATATATCAAGAGAACTCAGATTTCTAAAAGTCAGTTCACATTCCATGAGTAAAAATATGTAATATGTTACAAAACATCACAAAAAAGAGAAGATTTTTGTATAATAGCATGTTCTTTATAAAGCGTTGAAATAAACCTTTTTTCTTATAATTTTCATAAATATCATAATCCGAAACGAAATAATTCTTAATCTGAATATTAAGTTTAAAAAAGCCACATATCTTGGCTGAATCAGGTTTTCAACGATCGAGGAAGATTTATTTTGTGGGATAACAATTATCCCTACTTAATTTTTTAATTATCATCATTGTAAGAATCTGTTTTTTCTTATTTGCACATAATTTTAACCCATTGTACAATATTTGGCGCCGTATAAAACGCAAATATTTGCTTAACGCAACATTATAGATGATTGCTATTGTAACATAAGAAATGTTTAACTTGTTTATTTAATTTTTTAACCTTAATTGCTGTCTTAAAGTACAGATTTCAAATTTCGGTAATAATTCTTATAATTATTTAACTATTGTTCATTGACTGTACACATAATAATTTATGCCATATAAACATTCAAGTTTTTTGAAATTATGATATTTTCTGTATCATTTTTTTCTCATTGTTTTGTATAAATCAAAAGAGTGCTATCATTAATATTACAATTGTATATAAACATTTAAAATGTGTTATTTTAAAATTCTATTTTAATTCTTTCAGAAAGTCGTCGTCGTTGTCACGTTACATTACAAAATAGATTTTATATATAAATATTATTAATCCACGCATATACTCGAGCATTCATTTCAGACAGCATTAATTTTCGATGAATTAACGATAATGATAAATAGCGAGAAATAGTTTTCGATGTAAGTATTTGCTATCCTGGCACTTTCAATAAAGTTGCAAAGTTAAGAAATTGTAACAAGTAGAACATTACGGTCATTACCCTAACAAAAAATAAAATAGTTAATTATAGTTTACTAACATGTCAAAGTTTGATGATGGTATTTTTTTTTTATTAATTTCAAATTGTATTAAAACTACATCATAATTTGAAGTTACTGTTGCATGCAGTTTTGTCATTAATTAAATGGATTTTGCTACTTATAGCTGAGATTCTGTACTTGCAAGCCCCATCGATTTCTAAGTGAGATTAATAATAATAATCTTTTCTTCACTTAATTTCAAAACAAGAGTCGCCCGCGTTGCAGACGCAGTGGTTAGAGCGTCTGCTCTAGAGTCGCGAAGTAAGGAGTTGTTCCTTACGTCGCGGGTTCAAATCCCACTATGGGACGTAGAGACCGGTCCTTCGGATGAGACCGTATAAACCAAGGTCCCGTGTCGCAGGAGGTGCTGGCACAAAAAAGATCCCTCACTGCTCAATGGCTCTAAGTGCCGAGTATAGGACAAAATTTGCAGCTCTCCACCGGCAAGTGGTGGTGCCTCCATATGAGTGAAAAATTCTCGAGAGGGACGTTAAACAACATAGAAACATACAAACAAAACTAGAAAAATAGTAATCATGAAAACAACATCGTCGCAATTATAGGGTTTTGGGGTCCATTCTGTTTCCACAAACCCATGACTGCATACAACAAAATTCTCTCATTCTCATTAATATCAACGACACACATTCAGCCAATGGAATAATACTCTGACATGTCAAGTTGAAACATTTTGTCCAATTAAAATGATCAGTCTGTCGTACATGTGGATGTAACCATACCACGAGCCGAACATCAACATCGATAGGAATATACTTATTTAAACCAGTGAGCTATTTAATATATTTATTAAATATATTAACATAACATCTGCATTCGAAACCCTGTCTTTTTAATGCTGCGCTTGAAAGTATTTTTGAATAAATTTTTCCCACATCTACTCTTCAGGATCTATCGTATTTTAGTCAATAAATCTGCAACGCATAGGAAACATGATTTCATAAGGTGCACCGCCGTGTTAATGTACCCAAAGTTGCTACAGAGTTATTTTATTGGTCACATTAATACTGGGGTCACTTAATAAAAATTCAGTCATACATTCTCGAGAAAGAGAGAATTTTGTAGGAGACAGCCCCGGGTTTGTTAAAATAGAATGCACACAATACCCCTGCCTTGCGACGATGAAAAATAAAACATAAAAAACTCTGACAGTCCTCAGGCTTAAATTCGACCACCGAACTCTTAGATTCTTAAGAGTCGAATATCAATGCAGTACATGTATTAATATTGTTGCAACTTTCAATTATACAAACATTAACACTTAAACGAAGTTAGTAAAATATGACGGGAGGGCATATAGGTTTAACTCAATTAATTTATACTACTGCATTTATCTATCATGTTTGATATTTTTTTGTATCAAAATGATACTGGATAATTATGAAAAAATAATAAACTACATGTAATAATTCGAAATAGGCGGAAACTTATGGAGAATAATATAGCATTCAAATGACTGCATTTCTCAGAGAACTCCTAGTCGACATAATTATATGTCTAACATTTGTTTCCATACAGAGTCATCTTTACAAAAAAAAAAAAAAAAAAAAAAAAAAAAAAAACCAAAACAAAACAAACAAACAAACAAACAAACAAACAAAACAAAACAAAACAAACAAACAAACAAACAAATTCTTTTCATTCTTTTGCTTCATAATTTATTTAATAAATGGTGACATGCATTTTACATTTTATCCAAAGACGTACATGTTGTAAAAATATTTCCACTTGCTGGCTAAGCGGCCAGGGGCACTTTCGGCATGCGATCTTTCGCGGTCAGAAATGACAGCTTGCATGCATACATCAGATCTGCTAAACTTTTTAATCTGATTCAGTACAGACTTTGCTGTCCAAGGATAATGAACCCATACGACTGTCTCTGTTCTAACTTTACTCAATTGTTTCTTGTAATGTTCTGTGTTTATCTTCCTTTTTTCTTTCGGTACGCTTGACGTCAAAACATTCCTTCCATCTTTTTCCAAGTATTTATTCCCTCCACAGAGTTTAAAATCATGCCCATTATTTCCAGTCCAGGATTGGGCCATTTTGTTGTATACGATGACGACCCAATCCCTCCAGTAATATTTCTTTGAGTAGAATTTGAACAATCGCTTTGCAAATTGATCGTGACTATCATCTTTGTATTGTGCAGATAGGCCTTCCAAATCTTTCAACTTTTGACTTTCCCATGCATCAGTGACTTGCTTATCCACAGCTTTGACTTTCTGGAGAACTTCCTTGATGTGCTTCTCCCACACTACTTTTTCCATTTTATAGCTTGCTTTCTTATTTGAGAGCTCCAGATAGGCTAGATTAACCTTCACAGCTGTCATTAGAAGTCCGACGCATCCAGCCATTACCGTTTGCATCTTTTTGCGATCATAATTTGTGTATGCCATCGCTTCTTGTGGAATATTGTCTGTGAAAGACTGCTTTGTCATAATACCATTATATATTTTTTTGGCTGCACTTTGATAACTGACCCTAAATGCATTGATAAAGCGTGATCTTTGACCTTTGACAGCATCTTTTGGAGCTGTCATTAACATATGTAGTCGATATGACAAAGCGTTGACATTTTGTTCAATCCCTGAAAACTGCGCCTTGAGAGCCTTTGATTTAATTAGATTTGTAACTTCGCCAAAAAGTCTTTCCATATTTCTGAAATTTGAATCTACTCTTGAAAATTGTTCTTTTAAGAATGTTAAAGTTGGATCTTCTTGTTTCGGAAGAAATAGGGTTATGATATCCATAAGTGGTCCAATAGCAGCCAGAAACGGAGCAATTGAACCCATTACTTTAGTAAATTTAGCTAGGACCTTGACACCAGACACTTTCGGTAATAGCATTGGTTGCTTCAATTCCGGTTTTCACAATCTCTGATGCCTCTTTTGCATCATCTCCTACGTCAGCTTGAAGGTTAGCAATTAAGACCATCAGCAGCACAAATAGCAATAGACGAAAGATCTGCATGATTTCGATCTAAAGTAGAGGAGTCTCTAAAATACAAATACAAGACATAGTGTAAAAGAAAAAAAAAGCGGGATTTTGGTCAATTTCACTTATTTCTATATCAAATGAAATTGGTTTCAGTCTTTACATGTATCATCTGAGCATATTCCGATTCAACGATGTTAGGTATTTTCCTCATGACCAAGAAGCATTCAGTACAGAGGAAAATTCTATATGACCAGTATAATATTCAGTCAATTAACATACTGGCAGATCATGTGCCACCAAGGTTCACAAAAGATGTACTTTTATGAGATTCATGATTGAAAGAATAAGATTCGTTTAACATCCCACTTCACTCATAAAAATAATATACATAAACATTGTATAACCCTCTCACGTATACATGTATAACCTAATGCTTTTATGATAATAATTTTCCAAAGAAAAATTGATTGTAATGGAAATTCAAAAGTTTCAGAATTTATCTTGGAAATTAAAAATTTTCAGTCTTTATTTTGCGCCGCAAAATTTGACATCTTTTAGACCATCTTTTAAGTCGATAAGTTTTAAGGGACTAATAATCAGTGAAAGTTATTTCTTTTCGGCGAATAAATGAACCTAAAGAAAAATTTCGTACCATTTTTCACCGGAGAACAATTCAACAGAGAATATTTAAGTATTTTTGTTTTTGAAAAAGCTTAAATTTTCAAAGTATTTAAAAAATACACCAGTTTAATTAAAAGTTTCTTCCTACATATAGGATAAATAATAAGGGTCAGTAATTGTAGTCTTACATGCGGACGCTTATTTAATATATGTGAATGAAACATAACTATCAATAACAGAGTTTGTAAAAATGTACGTTTGACAAGAAATACATTATTTACGAAAAATAAATATAAATAATAATAATAAATACCAATAATAAAAAATACAAATATTACCCTTTGGTAGTCAGGATCCTCCATGCAATGCAAGACTTTCTGTTTTAACTTATATAGATAAGAATTTCAATGAGATCGAAAACACCTGACGAACAATTTACTAAAATAACAATTAGAAGTATTTGCTTAATAATTTGCAAAAAGATAAGTTTATTGAAGATCGAAAACATATGTCATTTATCATAATTTAATTATAGAATATTTCTCAATTCAAAGGTACATGTGTTTCACAATGACAAAAGAAAAAAAATAAATAGATACATGGAATTATGACCAATGCATTAATTCAACAAATGCTTCAACCAATCACACAAATTCGAAATTGTTACAGTAAACAGAAACATTTTTTAAAATATACCACACTTTAGTATTCACTGTTGTCTCAGTTAATACCAACGTATGTTCAAACATTGAACAAACATGTTAAAAAATGTAAGAATAAATCAAACTGAATTTAAGATAGCATATGTTCAGATACTTTGAATTTGCTGGCGATGTCTCAGAAAAAGCTAGAATTGACAAAGGGCATATGGAGGGACTGACCAGTCGACATGAAATGCTTACTCTTCCCAGGCACCTTATCCAAACCCCGATGTCTTTCTAGGTTTGGGTTTGTTCAGCCCACAGTTTGTATTGTTGGTTTGTTCAGCCCACAGTTTGTATTGTTGGTTTGTTCAGCCCACAGTTTGTTTTGTTGGTTTGTTCAGCCCACAGTTTGTATTGTTGGTTTGTTCAGCCCACAGTTTGTATCGTTGGTTTGTTCAGCCCACAGTTTGTATCGTTGGTTTGTTCAGCCCACAGTTTGTATCGTTGGTTTGTTCAGCCCACAGTTTGTATTGTTGGTTTGTTCAGCCCACAGTTTGTATTGTTGGTTTATTCAGTCCACAGTTTGTATTGTTGGTTTGTTCAGCCCACAGTTTGTATTGTTGAATTTGACTTTTAAGCATGATTACTATTCATTATTTTCACATTTCATGTTATCAGCTAAAGTCGAAATTATCTGTAGTCTTTAATTACTAAACATTTCTGAATGTACTTTCTCTATAACCGTTAGTATCGTTCTGGTGTACACCGATCCTGGACACAATTTTCTAACCAAAAAGCTTTCTCTTTACATTGTTGCTTATTTTCTTATCTATTTGCCATAGACTCTGTCTGTCTGTTTGTCTGTCTGTCTTTGTTTGTGATTGTGTGTCAGTCTTTCTCTCTTTTAGAAAATACCCTTCAAAGCAATGTATTGGTGAAAAAAATGTGCACATGTTCACAGTACATACTAGTATTGACGTCGGAGACAATATGTACCGTGGTGGTAGCACCTGCAAGTAACTTTAGCTACGGATAAAGAATGTATATCTATGCTCATTCTTGACAGTCTATATCAGAATGAGAAATGGATATTAAAAGTTGTAATAGAATACGTAATAAATACAAAAGTAAATTTAGTTTGTAAATAACTATGTTGTCATCAGAAAAAAGAAACAGTGCTCCACACCATTATATTACTATTAAATTATCATTTATATGTCTATAATAACATGGCATTTGGCTTCCATAAAATTTATATAGTGAATGCTTATAAGACCGCTGAACATTAACTTACAAGAATGGAAATATGCAGCTTACGTCATTTCCATCTGTTAGAGTCAAAACATTTGATGATAGACAATGAAATAGACGGGTACAATTTGGCTCGGGCGTATGAGAAAATATGGGATTGAAATTATAGTTTGATTTTCATTTTCAGTCCACTTCAGCTACTCTCATTAGCACAGTGTAACTGATTGATCCAGAAGACAAATAATGTTAATTTGAAAATAGATTGACGTTTATATAAATAGAGGTTCTGTCCAATGCTTTTTAAGGAAATAATAAGAGGACGACCATTGGATTTCGGAAGGGTTGACTGGTAGATCTTAGAAATAAGCAGGAAAGTTTTCGAGTCTCAGACGTCCGTGTCGAATTGTATCCGCTCATATCATTGCCTATCATCTATATTCAAATATTTTGACTGCAACAGATGGAAAAGATGTAATGTGTATATTCCCAAGTTAATGTTCCGCGGTCTTAATTCAATTTTAGTGACAAATATGTTACTTTTCAACGACATACTCATTATTTAGCTTACTCGAAAAAATGTGCACGAAATTTAAATGCCGACACCTGCGTAGAAATATGTCGATTGAAAAATTACAGGATTCTCGGGAACAGATCAAAAAGGCTGTATTAAACATGGCAGTTATAAATTCCTTTAAAAAGTTATAAAAATAAAGAATTATCCCTTACTAAGTTATCAATTACGTAAGTTATAAATATCTGCAAGTGCAATTTTCAAAGCGAATACAATTTAAAGCATTCAGAAACTTGCTTTGTTGTCAGTAAGCAATCAGTCAACGGTCAGACGTCGAGTGGAGTGCAACGGAAAATTAAAAGGGGATGTCACCAGGTTTAAATAAATTTCTAAAATTAACTAGGTTGTCGATACACCTTAGTATACACTAGACAAAATTGCTAATGCACCGCCAAAGAAAATTAAGGTTTTTTTTTCCCAAAACTTGTTAATGCTGTATTTGATATGTAATTATGTTACTTATATAAAAATTAGGCATTTAAATGTCTTTACTGATAGATAACTACAATGTTTACTGAAGCGTAACCATTTCATAGAAAAAATTAAAATCTTGTCCATACTTTTTTGGAAGAATAAATTTCTATTTTTTCTTTGTGTTTGTGTTCTTTATATTTGTACTAATTAAAAACTCAGAAAAAAAGTTACACAGTTTGCTGCGTTTGACCTTAGAAGAGCGTGCTAAAGCAGACAGTATGGTGGCTGCAGGGGATTCCTTTGGAGAAATTTGTAAAAAATGAAAACAATTAAAAGATTATGAATTCCTTTAATGAGAAATTGTTGGAAATAGATTAATAAACATAAAAATATTTACTATAGATAGCCACGGCATTAAGTAAGCAGCACACGATAATTTAAAAATTGTACCACAAAATTGGGTCAACCGGAAGTTGGGTGGATTTGGTATGGACACCAAGGCCTGGATGACTACTAGGCAGTATGATAGTCAATAGCTGTATGTTATTTGATTTTTTAACACGGAGACTGCTTCTGTGGCAACTTCACGGACCACCTTTGGTGATCACCAACTTCATATCTGGGCAAAAACGGTGCGCAGGGCACATCTGAAAATTCGTTTTCGGACAAGAAGGTCATTTAAGGGTCTTGTCATAATACCAAGACATTTGTCAATCCCACTGTTATGGAAAAGATGGCATATTATATATACTATTACCGATCGGGCAAATGTTCAATTTACAAATAAGAGTAACAAGTGGTGCGTTAGCAATTTTGTCTAGTGTATGTACAACTTGATTGACAGTAAATACCCTCAATAAACTTTAAGGACAGACGACATACAAACAGACAAAATGAGAATAACACTCACATCAAGATAAACTTAGTCTAGGACCTTTTTTATTTATTTTATTTTTAAAGCTATATAATGAATTAGCTTTTCTCCCTTCTTTTGTTTTCAATTCGTAGTAAATTCAATGCAATTTTTTTAGTTGCGAACACAATAAGCAATACACGTGCTTCTTTACAGAATTATATCAGCTATTATCTCGCTCTATATTTTACTTGAATATTTTTCTTTTTTTTAAAACTCAACAAGATTTATATCTTTTGGAAATAATTAATGATTAAAATATTTCTTTTTCATCTTACAGGTAGAAAAAAAGATTTATAGAAGCTGAATTTAGATCATAAAAAGAACATTGTCATTCTTTCTGGAGAGTGTTTGTTTACAATATTGTCATTCTCTTCTTATTAATGTTCTGACTTATGATACAGATGAACATCATATTGATAAGTAGAGTTAAATGTAGTTAGGCCACTAAAATAGACATTACATTAACTGGAAAATAAACAGAATGATCTCTCCGTAGAAATCCAAAAGTTCAAAGTGATGAAAGTAATGACTTCCTTTAAAAAGCCTGTGAAAATTATTTTGCTTAGGTCATTGGTTTAATTCTTTTTAATTGAAGATTTGTTAATAATTTGGATAAATGAATAAGCTGAAGAAAACAAACCG